ACTCCGGCTGCACCCTCTCCAAGACAGATCTGTTTGTCCTTCCGGCTGTCAAGGGGATGTTCAGCGCTCTTCTCCAACAACACAGGCATCAATTCTTCTTCAGTCTTCCTCATTCATTGTCCAATTTTCAGATGCATTCTGAATGTCGTTGTTGTTATGTGCGTCGAGTTGCCTGTGACTCATAGTGACCCTATGTACAACACCCCTAAACCCTGCTCTACCCTGTGCCAATCTCACTGTCTCTGACACACCCATCCCTCTCTGACACTCCCATCCCGATTACCCCAGTCACTGAATCAATCCACCTCATAGCGGGTCTTCCCCTCTTGCACTCTCCCTCCACCCTCCCAAGCATGATGTCCTTCTCCAAGGACTGGTCCCTCCTTACAACATGTCCCAAGTATAAAGCCTCAGAATCCTTTCCTCCAAGGAGCAGCCTAGTTTAACTCTCTCCAGGATGAATCAGTTTGTTTTCTTAGCAGTCCATGATATATTCAATACTCTTCTCCAGCACCACAGCTCAAAGGCATCAATTCTCCTTCTATTCTCCCTAGTCATTGTCCAGCTCTCTGATGTATAACAAGTGATGGCAAAGACCATGGACTGTATCAGGTACACCTTAGTCTCTAGTGTGGCACCATTCCTCTGCAGTACTTTGGAGAGGTCCCTAACAGCAGACTTTCCCATTGCAATTTAAAATACCATGGCTCAGATCAGGAGCACCTTAGTCTTTAAACGGAGACCCTTCCTCTTGAGCACTTTGTAGGGGTCCTTGACAGATAATAGAGAGGAAGAGAAAAACCCTTCAGAGAACAAGAGAAAGAGGAAAATGATAGAGGCAGGTAAGATGCACAGTAGATTTGAAACAAAACAAAGTAAGGTTGGAGAAGTAGTTACAGCCCAAATAAAGCCTGTTTTCATCAGGTAAAGGAGTTATCTCTGGATTAGAGAAAATCCTGCACGTCCACCTGTGTTTTGATAAAAGACCCACATCATTAGGAGGAGGAGGTGGAATTAAAAAGAGGGGAAATGGACCAAAGGAGAACTGGCTGAGCTGTGTGGACACGAGAGGAAACGAGCATGAAGGGCGTGCTCGCCTGTGGGGGGACGCGCCTCCATCAGCAGCCTGTATGAGGTGCTTCTCCTTCCCCAGGTTAACCGTGGCACCTGTGCTCCATCTCTGCATGGTCCAGGCTGGTGGCGTCCCCTAGGGTCTCTATTAGACGAAGTCCAGGGCGATGACGTGCACAGAAGCATTCTCAGAACAATTTCTGTCATTTTAACTGGCTGTGTCTGGTGCACTTGTTCCAGAAGGTGTTTTGTTTGTGTGCGACATTTGTTCATAGTTGATCTCTTGTATCTGGCATAGAGACACAAGCTGTCCTGAGGGAGTTTAGAGTTGAAATCTGATAGGAAAATGTGCATTTACTACCAAAGCCCTTCCAGGGACTGCTTCAATGTGCTAAAGAGCAAGGATGTTACTTTGAGGACTACGGTGTGCCTGACCCAAGACATAGTATTTTCACTTGACTAACCCTGCTTGCTGAAAACGAGGAGGACCTGAAGTACTTGCTGCAGAAGGTCAAGGACTGCAGCCTTCAATATGGATTGAGGCTCAATATCCAGAAAACAAAGATTCTCACCACTGGGCCAACTGGCAGCATCAGGATGGATGGTGAAGAGACTGAGATTGTTCACAGCTTCAGTTTGCTTGACTCCACAGTCAACACTCTTGGCACCAGCAGCCAGGAAATTAAGATACATAGTGATGGCAAAGTCTGCTGTTAGGGACCTCTCCAAAGTACTTAAGAACAATGGTGTCACTCTGGAGACTAAGGTCCACCTGATACAGGCCATGGTCTTTGCAATTACTTGCTATGCATCAGAGAGCTGGAAAATGACTAGGGGGGACAGAAGGAGAATTGACGCATTTGAGCTGTGGTGCTGGAGAAGAGTATTGAATATACCATGGACTGCCAAGAAAACAAACAGATTCATCCTAGAGAGGGATAAACCAGGCTGCTCCTTGGAGGCAAGTATTCTGAAGCTTCGTCTGACATACTTTGGACATGTTGTAAGGAGAGACCGGTCCTTAGACAGGGACATCGTGCTGGACAGAGTGGAGGGACAGCACAGGAGGGGAAGGCCCTGTATGAGGTGGATTGATTCAGTGACTGGGGTAATTGGGATGGGTGTGTCGGAGACGGTGAGGTCGGCACAGGACAGAGCAGGGTTTAGGCTGTTGTACATAGGGTCATTATGAGTCGTAGGCAACTCTAAGGCACATAACAACAACAGTGTGTGTGTGAAAGTTGGAAAATTAATGAGGATAGAGGAATAATTGATGTCTTTCCATCCTGTTACTGATGAAGAATATTAAATATCTCAGAGACTGCCAGAAAAAAAAAAAACACCAAACACATCTGTGTTGGAGGAAGTGAGCCCAGAGCGCCCCTTAGGAGCAAGGATGACTCAGTCTCCTACACTTTGGTACCCTGTCAGGGGAGGTTAATCCCGGGGGAAAGCCATCGCACGTGGAGAGGTGGAGGCTCTTTGGGGTGAAGGAGCCACAGGGGGCCTGTGACAGCGGCCTGAGCACAGCCCGTGGTGAGGGACAGAGAGGACAGTGCAGGATCAGGCAGTTTTAGTCTGCTGTTGGCCAGGCCACTGGGCAGGAACTGACTGAACAACACAGCAGCCTCTACGACTGTCCCTGCACCTGGCGGTGCCCTGGGCGCGCACAGGTAAAGCAGTCAGTTCCTAACAGAAAGGTTTAAAGCTCCCCAGTACCATCCCTCAAGATAGGTTAAACCACAAACCCAGCTATTCCAAAGGAGACCCAGAACACAAGCCTGGCAAGAGACAGGACTGCACGCGATTCCACCTGGTCGAGGGCTGCAGTGGCCACTAGAGGGCAATGTCTTCCCGGAGGACAGAGGCCCAGCTAGGAGGACCGGAGGCCGTCACGAAGTGGGACAGGCTGGGCTGCAGCGGGAGCTTCTCTCTCTGGGAGACCAGGGCGCTCGAGAGAACCTTCCAGTGCTTGCTGGCTGCTGCCAGGCCCTTGGACAGGTACTCGCAGCTGTGGGCGCGGATGGGCCAGCGGCCAGGAGCTACCAGGCAGGGCGGCTTCAGCAGGAGTGGAGGCTGCTGAGCTGGGAGGGGCCGGGAAGTGGGGGGAGCGAGCCCGAAGGCAGATCATTCCTGCAACACCAGCTGCTGAGATTCCGCCTGGGCCCCGCAGGCTGGACTATGGGGGCGAGAAAAGGCTTGAAGCCCTCGCTACGGTCGCCCACAGTGCCCGAGTCCACACACGGACCTTGGTCCATGCAGGGCCACAGCCCCCTCCACCGGGCACACACGGACCTTGGTCCACTCTGCCCCTCTGCCAGGCACATATAGACCTGAGTCCACGCAGCGCCACAGCCCCCCTCCACCGGGCACACACGGACCTTGGTCCACTCCGCCCCTCCACCGGGCACACATGGACCTGGGTCCACTCCACCCCTCCGCCAAGCACACATAGACCTGAGTCCACTCCGCCCCTCCACCGGGCACACATAGACCTGAGTCCACAGCCCCCCTCCACCGGGCACACACGGACCTTGGTCCACTCAGGCCCACAGCCCCCATCTACCGGGCACACATGGACCTGGGTCCACTCCGCCCCTCCACCGGGCACACATGGACCTGAGTCCACTCAGGCCCACAGCCCCCATCCACCGGGCACACATGGACCTGAGTCCACGCAAGCCCACAGCCCCCCTCCACCGGGCACACAT